AAGACTTTCAATTTTTCGTAATTGTCATGCACAAACTATATCTGTTTATGTGAAATTTGTCACCATTTGCGTGTTCAAATCGGTTATTGTTTACTGCACCCATGCACGTACATAAACATTTTACTAGATCAACTATCTTGACATATGTTCACCACAATTTCGACAAATCCGTCGGACAGAACGGATAATCATATGATTATACGAAAATGTTTTCCAATTAACAGAAGAACGAAACGTTTAAACTTGGAAAGAGCTCAAAAGTTAACATGGAAAAGCGTTACACAATGGTTTTGCCAGAGGTTCGTAAATAAATAACTATTTTTTATAACTATTTTTACAACTGTTTTGTTATTTATGTTCTTCGCATAATTTGACGTGTCGCCATGCACTAAGATTTATGTCGGTAAAATAATTTTTGCACCTCGTAACTTTTTTGCACATGCTCTTGAAAAAACATGTCCGAATTTGGGGCACTGAAATCCGTCAGTGGTTGAATTGCAATGCTCTGTGTCAAAAATCATAATCGATTTACCCTTACATTTTGAATAGTTAACTAATAGTTAATTCCTCGTTAACTGAAAAATACCTGACGGCTCTGATTGGCCAATTCTGCCCTTAACTACAATTAAAGGTTAATTAGTCTTTTATACAACTGGGGCTAGTTGTTCGAAAGGTGGATAAAGTTATCCACTGACTGGAGATAACTTTAACGGTGGATAATGTGAGATAACTCCAGTGGATAACTTTATCAACATTTCGAACAACCGGCCCCTGGTCCCTGCTTAAACTATTTTCATGAAGATTGGTAATTAATGTGGGTAATTATGCGATGGCGAGTACAATTCAAGTTTAATAATAGGAGAGATGTTTATTAATAATAATAATTGAGGTTTTCGAAATATTGTTCTTGTTTAGATTTAAAGCATCCATGAAAAAAAGAGGACGAATGGGCGAGGATAATAAAGACATATTTCTTCTGATAAGGTGTGTTTATGAAATGCAGGAAGTTGATATCATGGATTCAATTGCATCATTTGCTTGTGAAGTTAAAGATGAGAAAGAGAATAAGGAATTCTGTTTGGAAGATTTTGATATTGCGCCTGTGGAATCTGTTGCTTTCTTCGAATTTCTAAGTCGCATAAAGAAATTGAAGAAGCTTACGATCATTCGCTGTAGAATGGACCATTTAATTGTTCACGAATTGGCCACAAAGTTGCTGATCAAAACTAGTAGCATCAGCAAACTTACTGAATTACACTTGTTTCATAACCAACTAAACGATAACAGTGTTGTTGATTTAAGTGATGCGCTGAAGAATGTCAATTGCAACCTTAACAACCTAGCATTAGCTACAAACAAACTGACAGATGTCGGTGCTAGAAATTTAAGCGCAGCTCTGAAGAACGGAAACTGTAAACTTGCAAAACTAGACATGTCTGGAAACAAACTAACTGATGACGCTGCTAAATATTTAGCCGATGCTCTGAAGAGTGAAAACGTTAAACTTACTGAATTAAACGTGGCTGGAAACGAACTAACTGATGAAGGTGCTAGATATTTAAGTGACACTCTTAAGAGTGAAAACTGCAAACTTACTGCATTAAACCTGGCTGGAAACAAAATAACTAATAACGGTGCAAGATATTTAAGTGATGCTTTGAAGAGTGAAAACTGCAAACTTACGGAATTAAACGTGGCTGGGAACGAACTAACTGATAACGGTGCTAGGTATTTAAGTGATGCTTTGAGGAGTGAAAACTGCGAACTTGTCTCAGAACAAACTAACTGATGACGGTGCAAGATATTTAGGGGATGCTCTAATAACTGGCAATTGCACTCTTATTAAGCTAGACATAGCTCTTAATATATTAACAGTTGTAGGTGTCAGATATTTAAATGATGCTCACAGGAATGAAAAGTGTAAACTTACCAAATTAGTAACGTTTGGAAACAATTAAACTAACAGACAACGTGTTTGAATTCACGCACTACAAGTTAGACGTTAATATTGAATAAAGTTAATTGAATAATATATTACCAGTAATCGCATACAACTAACCAACTATTCAGAATAACATGACTGAAAAATAATTAATTAAAAAATTGATAATTTTTACATTTACAATTTATTATGCTGAATCTATTGTGTTTGACCAATCTAGTTGATCGGCTACCATAGTAAACTTCAAAACAATCCCTGCCTAATATATTTAACGAAATTGCGTGCCTATATGTATTGTAATGCGGCCATGTTGGTGGTATATATTAATATATTAATAGCTCAAAATGCTTTATAAAGAGTTTTGTTCTATTCATATCCGGCTCTTTACACAATATAGCTATAGCTAATGCTGGTTATACACGAAAGAAGTATTTAATCGAGAAAAATTGCCGAGGTAAATATGGAAAATCTATACGTCATGAAAGCTACAAATTTCGTCTGACGATTTCTAACTCTAGAGTAGAGATCCGACACAACTTGAAATCTTGACTTAGAAACAAAATAAATAATGCCGAAATCAACGGGGAAACTATATATTTTTGCCATATATTAGGTCCGATAAAGGTCTGTTCACTCCATCCAAGTTGTTGGATCAAAACCACTTCTGATGAATGGAAATAAATTATCACAGTTAGAAAGAGCACACTGAAATTAGTAAAATTGCCAAGTTTGGTTGTAAAATATTTTAAAGTCGGGAAAATATCTACCTCCTCCGCAGGCGCTAGGGAGCATTTCGGGCGATTTGGGCATTTCGGGCGATTTTGGAAAATCCTACCCGCAAAATATCACCGCCCGCCATATTCGCCCGAAAAGGGCCTGCGGATGAGGTAGGGAGAATATAGCCATGCCACGTTGGCAAATTTTTTATACTTTTATATTATATACGGGCGGAAGTGTGTAACTAATTTAGGGACACATTTCCGGCCATAATACAAAACTATACAAAATTTGCCAACTTCGATGGCTGTATTTTGCATTCAAAAAACTTGCATTCTACAGTAGTGCAAAAATAGGTTAATTTTTCAGGATTTCTTAATTTCTGTTTACACGTTTAAAATCAACAAGTAAGTGAGCTATGATATTTTATGTTTTAACATAGTTTATGGATTTTCTTCACCCTTTCTGGTCTTTGCACAATTAATAATTTCGGAAAACTAGCAAATGCCTAAGCAAATGTTCGCCGGTTTCACAGCAAATGAGTTTGATATGAATTCATACGAAATTTTGAGAGAACTATCCGCCGGCCACTCGATCCGCCTATGAGGTAACGTCATCTTTTTTAATCATTAGCTAAGCGCTTATTGGCAGTCTTGTGGTATCTCTAAGACTAAGATAACTTTGATCTACTGAGAAACAGGAACTTGTATTTATCAGTGATTGTTTTTGTAGCACAGCTTGACACAGGAAGGCTCGATAGCTATAATTGACTGTAACATTTCAGTTTGTATTATAATCCCACCTGTAACGCAATTCACCTGCAGTGCCACTCAAGTCTTAAGTAATCTCCTTTTTTAAAACAATTTACAACAGAAGGAATAACAATTACAGAATCATAAACGAATAAAATTGAAAGAATGCAATCTTAATAAACTGTTTCAATTTTAGTACGGCAATATATGACTATTGTCACCAATAAAGTGTCTAAACACAACTACCAGCAAGCTTTTCACACACAGTATAATGTTGTGAAGAATTCAGTCCAAGAAAACCGCCCTGATATAGCTACATTTACCAAACAAAAAACGCTGAAACCAATACAAGACAATAATAAGGGTCAATCACCAGTCAAGTGAACAATGAGAACACTTCAAGACAGAAATACATGAATACAGAGATAGCACAACGGACTATATGAATTCTTACGAAAAAGACAGTCATGTAAAATTGACCGAAGTGCGCAACATTAAACCAAAAGCGAAAGTATCTAACATAGACTGAAGCTTATAAACGATCATTTTTATATTTTCGAAAAATGTTCGAAGAATTTCAAGTGTTCGAAGAATAGTTACTTAAAAATATGTCTAGAATAGATACTTAATTAAAAACACATTTTCTACACACACAATTTACAAACACAATCACAGTGTTTAAATTTATACATGCAGGTAAAGCCCTGGTAGCTTTGACTAGGGTTGGATGTTGATTTGTGTTTAGTTGTGGGAAAGGAAGGACACGAGGTGCCGGGTGGCCATGGACGCTGACGCCAATTGTTAATTAAGCCATTGTGGGGGTTTCCAGACCCTACAAGGCCATAACAGTGTGATAGAAATAGAGGTAGTGCATTGACTTAGTTTGATATCGTTGTTTATAACTTCTTAGTTTGATTCTGTTGGTATATATTTAGTTGCAAAACGGTAGAGTAAAGATCTATGATTAAATCCGCTAAGTATATGCAACAGATATTTACCATACCATCCCATATTTACCAAATCAAGTATTCGGCTAAGGCCTGTGTTAGACGTCGCATTTTAGTCGCGTCGAATGCAATTCAAACAATAGATAATAAGATGATAATGAAGTTTAATGAGTTTTATCATCTCATGCATTATCTATTGTTTGAATTGCATTCGACGCGACTAAAATGCGACGTCTAACACAGGCCTAATTTAGTGAGATTGGCCTCAACATTTCACGCTTCAAAGACTACGAGTGTTCGCGAGGAGTAAAATATTCTAACTTCCTTCGGAATTTCAACCCGCAGTGTGGATAAAATGATCATAAAAATATGGACTAAGTCGAATAGTTACCCTAACTAGATCAATATAAAATGGACATGTTTATTCGTATTTTAGGAGCAAAGTTGATTTATTATAACGAACATTCTACGCAATTATGCATAACTTATTAATTCTAGGAAAGATACATTAAAAACACACAATTCAACTTTAAAGAAAACCGCTCTAACGAACGGTGGAGGAATTCTCCCCTCGTTTCACACCTACATAATTATAACGTTATAGTGAAAAATTGTTTATTTTATCACACATGCATGCACTCGTATTAGTTCTATATATATCGCTAAAAAATGTCAAAAAAATCATGATTCGGTTTCATGCTCAGTTAAAATCAACCAGTGTAGCGCCAATAAACGTGATCAGCGTAGTCAGACTGGTAACTACCCCAAGGCCAGCAATTCTTTCCAACATTATGACTATTAGCCGACACTGTTGTACGATAAGCAACGTAGATGCCAACATGATAAGTGCCTCTTGAATGCGCCGAAACAATATCTCCCCGCTGTGGAGATGAAACACGGGTCCAGTAGTCTAGCGACGATGCTGTTCCCCATCCACCTCTACCAGCCCCAACAGGTCCACCTCTCCAAGAAAATGTACGCACTGGCATTTTTGCGCCAGCTTCACGTCCAACGTCGTAAACAAAATAATTGCACTTGTCGGTGTTTGCTCCATGGCCTGATGAACATGAATAACACCATCGCGTTGAACCAACGTAACTCTCAGCTTTTTGTGCAATTTTTTTTCTCATGTCGGCCTGAAATATAAATATAGACATGGAAGGTGCATGTGAAAACGCTCGCATATATATATATATATATATATATATATATATATATATATATATATATATATATATATATATATATATATATATATATATATATATATATATATATATATATATATATATATATATATATATTTTTATATATATATATTCCCGCTAGGGTACGGTAACAGTATACGAGATTCATCAACGTAGCGTGCAGCTGTGCTAAGCTGCAAAACCTCGGCGCCTAATATATTATAAATGCGTATACTGTTTAATATTTTTACGCCTAGAAATGAAAAAAAATACACATACTTAAAGCCACGGTCATTAAAAACTGTTCTCAGGCAGTGAAGACTACGAAGCTTTCTCAAAATCACAGTCAAATGCATGGGCGAGTCTCTGTTGTCACTACGTAATATCACGAATACCACGTCAATATCACGAATTTCGTAGCCGTAGCGGGAGTCGTAGTCAAATTTAAAGCTTGATTACCACTACTTACAACACTAGTGCTACTGCTTCCACGACGTCTACCACCCCAACACCCGAATACAGTTGTAGACGCAAGCAGCACAAGCAAAAGTGAGATATGAATTTTACCACTCATTTTACCGCTTTGATGATATTTTGTTTCTAGGAAGCGACAAAAAAATTCTGAATTAGTTTTACAGCCATTATATATACACATTTAAAGCACTATAGTCTATCAAACATCTTATAAGCGCACAGAAATGATTATATTCACTTACCAAGTCACGAGTATCAAATGGCGACACGTTTCCACGTATATTAAAACCTGCAAGATATAAAATTAACTCACTTATAAATTCGTATTATATATGAGATAAATCAAACATGACACAATAGCAATTATATAAAGATGGACGTTTGAGTTACTGTTTAAATGAAGAAATTTCTAATATACTAGCTTAACTGTACCCTGCAGATGTCAACCTTGATCTATACTGTGACAACGGAATTAACCATGCACATAATATTTATGGACCTCCCAACGGAAGTTTGAAAGATTGAATTGTCTTTCCGTTTAAGCATGTAATAACTAGGGAAAATTGCAGTAATATTACAACAAAGAGCATAACTGGACAAATGGACTAATAATTGTGGCCTTTATACCTAATGGACGATAAGGTATGTAACTTGTCCGGACTTGTTAGCCACAACCATGCTGCAAATTGTTTGAACAACTTGCCGCGAGTCTGATTTTCTCGACTTGCATCAACATTGATGTGCTCACAGACTTGCTGCAAGTTGTTCCATCAGACTTGAAAAATAAAGTTTGTTTGAAGCATTAGCATGTTTACATTAGAAAAGCAAATCACGTTATTAAATGGATTTTTCTCTATTCGTAATATAATTCCTTCTTGTTGCTTCTATATCTAAAATTAGATTATAGCGCATAACGTCTATTCAATTTCCGGTCAAGAGCCGGTCTATCGAAACTTCGTTGTGTCATGAATAAATATAATTTAGGCAAGTTTTATTGCTCACTGC